AGAATGATAATATTTATTTAATTTATTTTATATTATAAAATTATCATTAATATATGTATTATTATCTTAAATGATTTGAGAAATGGCATAGTGAGAAACATTTTATACATATTGATATTATATTTTTTATTTMATTTTATCATAAAAATACTTTATAAGCGTTTTAAAGTAGTTTCAATAAGTTAGATGTTTTAAAAATATATTCATCACTGTCAAACAAATTATACGGTTTTAGTGATTTCTTATTTCTGTTTAATACTAGAATTTTCTTGTAGCTGACGAAATCGTTTGGAATAGAAATGTAGTATTTCTTAATTTAAAATTATAGTATGGAAGAAAGTTTTTAGGGAGATCTTTATTATATTATCATAACCAAAATCGAAAACATGAATTATTTTTTGTAAATTTTTTTACGTGGTTARGAAACATAAATAAATATAAACTGTTCTTATTTATTTTATGTCCAGCCTACGTTTAAACATTGGTAACACATTTTTCTGTAGCTGATGTTTTTGATTCACTCGTCTAACTTTCTATGGTAGTTCATCGATTCTACAAATACAATTACACGTATTTCAAATACCACAATAATAATATACATCTAGTATAATATGATCTATGACAATGAAATCTTTTAACAATAACATGTACATTAACAATCGGAATTCCAAACGGCAATATAGCTCAAGATATAGAAACGAACACAATTATTATATTGCATCGACTTAATGGAATTTGTTTGCAGGAAAAACTAAAGTTCTCAATATATATACTTTATAATAAGRATACGCTTATATTAATACTAGACGAATTTCACCTTCGTTGACTGATCACTGTTTATAGAATTACCTATAGTCGTAAAAGTTAGAAAAATAACAGACATGAATAACATAGATAGGTTAGGTTAAACCTACCAGTTTAGTTTAATTTTCAACGTAGGTTTTGGTATTTCATTAAATAYAAATAACTACCACTCGTTGGACGAGTCCGTTTCCGACCAATACCGTRCCCATCCCTTTTCGGGCAATTCACTTTTCGGCCAAATTTTAAATAGGGCAATTCCTTTTTCGACCTCAACAAAAATGTATAATAAATTCGAACTAATAAAAYAATGATATTCAATTTTTGTCAATTATTAAGTACAATATTAATATAAAATTATTTTTATTATTTTAAATAATTTCTCATTCATTTTATACAACTTATAATTTTAATGATTTTTATAAAGTATATAATATTAATTATTATTACTAATATTTGACATTATTTTATAACAATTATATGCCTATTAGTAACTAATAATTAGTTTATTTTTTTTATATATATTATAATTATWAACATAAAAATAATATTAATATATAGATATTCTYATATTTTAAATAATTTTCTACATTTTATTTTAAATTTATTATATACATTTTTGTTTTGGTCGAAAAGTGAATCCGCCGGAAAGGAAAGGGTACGTTTTTGATTGAAAACGGCCATGTCTCACTCGTTGATAAACGAAAATGTCAAAATATACTATTGAGAAGGTACCTAATTACACGTACGGGTTCGCAGGTTTTATCAGCGAAATTACTACAGAATTATTTGTRATAAACTGATCAATAACAATTATTAATTTTGAAATCTTCAACAAATCAACTTTATCTATGTACCCACTACTCAACTACGTTGAAACGCTCACAACTTTTCCACCTGTATCTGAGTTAATAACCATGACAAGTATAGAAATTAATATTAGTTTAATACTTTACACATTACGCATTTCACTATCATATTTTTTGTAGAAAAAGTTGAAATTTAACGTATTCTGCAAAATTGCGTAGTAAAAATTTAACCACCATGTTTGTTAGTCGTTAGAAGAATTAAGAAAAAAAGAAAAATAATTGCTTATAAGTTTTCAGAAAAGCAGATTATACGTTTGAGAACATATGTATGAGATAACAGTAGTTCCTTTTAGGTAGGTACCTATATAATATTATACAACATGTTATTTGAACTTGTTATTTCAATTGTACAAATCGCATACAATGTTATTGGTATACAATGATTGTTATGAATACTAATATTAAATATCATAGACATAAAAATTGAAAAAATGTATTCATATTTACTTCTAGCCTATACTTATATGCTATAGGTAAGTACTTATTGGTACTTGGGATATGTCATATACCTATAGAACATTGAAAAATAAAAAATATGTTGAATTACGAGTATAAAATATAATTATAAATTATAATGCAAGTATAATAATGTATTATCTGTGATTACTTTTAAAATCATAGTCGTAATGTTATTTATATTTTATCGACGAAAAAAGGTTTCTACCTCGCGGTACACGCAACAACTAACCTATTTGAAACTATAACGGCGTGTAAAAAATTGTCGGAAAATTCCGGTGCTATATCGAAGGGATGATGCGCTAACAGTAGGGTGGACCGCGGTTATTGAAAATATTATATTATCATGGGCAGATCGACCAGTGTCATATAATAATGATTGATCATTTATCAGAAGAAATTTGTGGCTCGATGGCTATTTGATTATCGTTCTCGATAATGTTTTCATGAAAAACAACGTCGTATGGGCGGGATGATCTGCTATATAGTAATGGTAATCAGTCAAACAGATTYGACTTGTATCGTCACTGCTGCAGCAGCCATGGCGGTCTGAGGARACGATGCGGAATTGACTAAAAACGTAATAATAATCGCCAACGGCTGCGGTGGCGGCGGAATACCGTTAATGGCACCGCGCCGGGCAAGGTCATCTGATTTGCGTGCACGTGTGTGTATAGTAATATTATGTCTGGAAGTGTATAATATCATATAAAATAAATAGCAAAAACAAAAATTAGACGAGACACATTTATTTAATATTTTTTGATATTAGTATTTACACAGACTGCTGCAGCAGAAGGAGTAAGCAGCATATAATAATATAAGAAACGTAAAATAATGAATCACAGACACAAGAACACAAACATTTGTAATTGCGTAATGATATGTCTATATGARCGTCTGTCTGGAGGAAACGCGTATATGTAACTTCTAAGAAGTATGACTCGCGTGGTTACGATTGCTACGTTAAACAACAATTTTACAGTGCCTCATAACAATAATAATTAAATTACCGAAGTCTAGATTCTTAGTTCACGATATGTACAGATGTACGTACTACAGTAAAAATACTACTGTTTGATTGTAAAAAAATGTCAACAATTTCAAACAGTTTCTCGATTCATCCATTTCTTTTTAATCGAGTTTTTATAGAGTTAAAGTTTATATGCATACTAAAAAAATACTATTTCATTAGTTGATTATATTTCATGTATTTATTTGTATTTGTATCTAAAAAAAATCAAAAATCATAATATATATTATAATATATAATCGTGTCTGCGATTCAGCGTGAATGACTCGTGGATTATTAACTGTCGATTATCTCATTATRAGAGATGTAGACATAAATATTAATTGTACTATGTACAATAAACATAATAATATTATTATTKTAAACATATAGGTATATTATAAATAAGCAATATTTTTCTGTTTGATTAAATATTATAGTGATTGATTTGTTTTGCTATTTGATGAAGATATTTACAGATATAATAACCATATTAATTTCATATGACCACAGTCAACTTGAAATAGGTATTCGTTCGCTAGAGCAACTTTTTAAAAATTCAATAGCATGCATTTTACTATCATATTTATTTTGTGACATTTAACTACGTAGTTATTTTTTGTAAAGGTTTATCTAAGATCATTTATGTTCTATCGTCAACTGGGGTTAGAAAAAATATTATAACGCTGTTGGGTCAAGTCGTTTAAATCATTTATGGTCTTCCTGTATAGAAGGAAAATAATAATGAAAATGGTAGACAACAATTGCTACGAAGTTTTATAGCATTTTTATAGTCAAAAAGTCAACGCAATGACTACTAAGTAGCTAAATGTAATAATGGTATGATTCCATTTAAATTAATTAATCTAAAATTTCAATTATTTATACTAAAAACTATAACAATAATAATGTCYCAACTATAGATTAATAAACACAYATTTTGATAGTTATTTATTAAGCACTTACGAGAAAAAAGTATTAAAATTTTGATTCTGATAATGTTCTATCGGATTAAAGAAACGCAAAATTAAAAAATGAATGTTAATATAGTTGTAACAAAATTAAAACTTGAGCACGATTTAAAAATAATTAATTACAAAATTGTTTAAATATATGTAATAGATAATAAGTATACAATTTTTCGATGCATATTGAATCTATAATTATAATTTATAAGCCATTAAAATGATATATAAAATACGTAAAATGGCCAACTGATATACCTATAATATGTGTACAGTATTGTTTTAGAAACTACCTATTCGAAATTAAAAATTTTATTGTTAAAATTGTTTTAAACTCTTTTTATATAATTTAGCTTTTATTTTGCAATAATATTATATRATATATTTTTTCATTATCCGTATTTCATATAGGTACAATTGTGATCAGTAAATCTTTGAGGTTTAAATATCAAATATATGAGTACCTGTAGGTATAGTAACTATTACAGCTTACGGGCAGGTGTAATATTATTGAAAAAATAGATATATTTAATTATTGTCATTTTAATACAAATGGATAGTTGTGGTGTGTACTTGAGAGAAAATCTTTAAAGTCAATTTTTTTACAATCGATCATAAACCACCATATACGGTATTGATCTATACGAGAGAGGCCCTCCTGGGTGAATTTGCATTGTATTTACAAATAAGCGACGAAAGTCAAAAAAAAAAAAAATTAAGAAATATTATAATATTGTCGTACGAACTATTATTGCAATCTTCAACGCGTCTATAATATTGCAATATAACCTTCGCAGTTGTGTCTTAGCAGCTGCTGCAGTTTCTTTGATCAAAGAAAATCTAAATGCTTATAKCTGGTACAACAAACATTATGACAAATAACAAGGTTACACTTACCTAGCACCAGGTCTAAACTGCACACGTGTAGGACGGCAGAGAATAAAAAGTATTTGGATTTCCAAGCCACCGGGTACATGCTCTTCATGGAGGCCACACCACAGATCGTCATAGAGTGAACGTGCTCCGTGATAAATTGAGGACACCATTCTGCTGATATGCATGAATCACCATTTTTGAAACGGTCATCGTCTATAAAAATAAAATACAAACATATTAAACAAAAAACAATCAATAGACGACGTTCTTCGATTCGACGATTTTGTGTTACTATATCATTATACATTATGCATTAATAATTATTTCGATTTACTAAGAATGATGCATATTGCATATAGGTATTATCCTACAATATTTTCAGTGAAAACTACCATTGAGGGGAAACACTGCGATAAACATCGAAAGAASTTTTTATGATTTCGTGGACGTTTCTATAACTATTGATTAATATTCGCTTATTATAATATATTAATATAATATTGTTTTGGGAAAGTGCAGCATTGGTCGGTCACCATAAAAAGTGTGAATACAAAACATTTCGAGGAGAAAAATATAATAATATACACTTCCAACATAGTTTTCGTTTATATAGGTGTTTACATTTTTTTTTTTTTTATCGTACATCATTAATCAGTCGCCGTTGAGCAGTCTTTCATTATATATATATATATACAAAAAAAAAAATTCTAACTAATTTCTAGTATTGTGTTCGTGCACACTCACACACACACGATCGAGCGCGCACACGGGAAATGCGCTTTTCGGCCTTGAACTGTTATCGACGGCTAGCCAAGTAGGCGGAGGCAACCGTTCCACTTGGAACCGCACCAACCACGGTTGCGATCCGACGGGCAGTCGGTTCACGAAAAACRTCGCGTCTACCTTTAGCGCTCGCGCGCGCACACACATGCACACACACATACACACTCTCTCACACACACACACACATGCACCTGTGACTTATGTCTGCCGCCGTGTAATAGGTGTCTCCGTGTGATAAAAATAACTGGGTATGTCGGCGCACATAGTCGTTATCACCTCACATGACTGATAAAAATTATTAAATATTAATATTAATGTGTTCTAGTGGGACTCTATAATACGTATTGTAGGTAACATAGGCACGTGACGTCAGCAGCCGCATAGATGCGATTTGTCTGTTGCACTTGACTTATATGTTATACACACCTAATTACCTGGTCACGGGTGCATTGTACACCCTTACAATGAGCAAAGTTTCGCGCTAACAAAATTAATGATTGATATAAGTAGTGTACATACGCGTAGGTAGAYCTATATATACCATATACGTGGTAAGCGCAGCGGACACTTAAGTTTTTTTGGACAAGACTTCGTGATCATATGGCCAGGTCGTTCGAKCCTATATAATTTAAGTGACATTTACCGTGTAACATTCTTAAATATTATCGTACTACGTAGGTATTGAATGTAATTTATTAGATACTTGAACACAAAATCACTTCAACTCAACGGGTMACTATGTGTATACTATACAAACCTATTTAACGGAAACTTAGTAAGAAACGAGATTAATTATTATTATTATATTTTGTAAAGAGTACAGACCGTTATTTCCATCGACCATAATAATATTATATGCACTTCAGTTTCGAAATATTTTAATGTACTTTCTTAAAAATACGTAGGTATGTGATTATTATTATTTGTAACTTTCTCTGACCAACTGCAATTACAAATAAGSTAAATAATATAAAATATTACTTCACATAATTTTTTATTGCATTTATCTATAGTTATTCGAAATTGAGTGTAGGTATACGGTATTTTATAACTTCAACAATTATTATTTGTAAACCTAACTAAGTAAAATGCAGTATACTAACAATTATTAATCATATGATATTAGACTAAAAAGAGTTAGAAAAACTGTTCATCACTATTTGTATGTAGAAATGCTTAATGTATTTATATGCATTTTTAATMATGTAAGTATAATATTATATAAAATATCGTAATCTATTTACATTATAGGTAGTTATTTAAACGAAACCGAACTCAAGGCTGTCAAATAATATTTTACAAGCACGGAATATTTACGCTGAATTTTACTTAGGTAAATAGATATTAATCATTTAAAAATAACTCTTAACTTAAAAATCTTTTAAATGCACGATTGAATGTAGCCGCTTAATATTTTCATTAGAAAATTTTGGATGATATATTAAACGAAAAATAAATTTTGTACTTTTATATAATATTATAACCTTTTTGTGATTCTTGAAAAAAACAATGTTCGCGTGATTATTGTTTTTAATACTTTAATTTAATTCCAAACAAAAAAAAACTTTAAAACATATTTCTATGAGACTTATATGCAATTAAAATATTAGCATAAGAATCTGCAAATAAATTAGAATATAAAATTAATTTGTATTGAGTGTTATAAATAATATAAATATTTATTTTGAATAAATATAAATAATATATTATAGTTTATATATAGATAAAAGTAAGATGAAAAACAAAGAAATTATTGTAATATAAAATTGAATTTATTATATTCTTTTAAAAAAAAATTCGTTCAATGTCATACCTTCCGAAAGTTCAAAGTTTTATAAAAAAAACGAAAATATTCTAGTGGTTATGAATCCAACAACGTGTCCAATATTTTATAATAATCGTTCCCGTTACTAAAATCGCTATTTAATAATTAATATTGTCGTGTAAAAATATTTCGAGTTAAAAACTATTCAACCATGGAACACACAAAATTTAAACTACGCGGATTTCCATTCGGCATCGTCAATTTCGGACTGTTAACCGTCTCGGCACAAGCAGGTACAGAGAATGTGCATGGGACCGTTCCCGCCATGTGAAATGCACTGACACTATCGAACGTGGAAACCATCGATTTACTAACGCTCACCGCTACTACTACTAGTACTTCACGATTGCGACGATTTGTATCTCATTTTATAATATATATACGAATKCGCCCCAAAACATGATAATATTTAGAGTTAGAACTACGGGCAAACTCGCAAACTGTATTAATAATTTATTATAGTACCTAATCCAAAATATATTAATTTAACGAATCAAATTTTTAGTATTTTATATAATAGCTCACACTTCGTATCTAACTAGTRTATAGGTACAATTTAAATTGCTTTCTGTAGTATGTAATGTTGAAACGATAAATAATTTTCATTTAAAACGCGATTATATGCATGTACGATCTTTCTGTGTAATACTAGAAACACACAATTTACTGATCGACTAAATCGTTTCATACATRTTATTACAATATTAAGTTAATCGTTTAAGTTCATTCATTGTATAAAAATAATATTTACTCTACAAGTACTTACCTAGGTACTATTATTTATTAATATTTACATTCAATAAAATTTTTATAAAATTCGCCAAATGTTACACACTCTGATGAAAATTTTGCTAAAAATGTTACATGATATAACACAGTAGACTCGATTTCAAAATTCAGGGGACCGTAATGAAAATTCGATTTATTGAAGGAAAAAAAATAATTCGAATGAAAGGGTTGAAAAATGTTATTACAAAATAATACATATTGTACATATTTATTATTTATTATACATTTACTTTGACGTATTAATATAGTATTACTACGTATTGTATGTCACCAAGATTTTTCGAATTATTGAGGTTTTCAAAAGACCAAGGGTTTAGTTCGATTTATATAATTTTTCAAATTTTTTAGGTTAACTGTACTTATTTATATTSTATAAGTGTAAATAAATATTGATCAAAATAACATGCAGAGTCCAGAAATATAATATGTATGAAAGCTGGCGTTTATGACTGCAAATTACAGTAATTAATATATAAATAATCTTGAAAAAAATAGTTTTGTTAAGAGCTATTAAATTTAGTAACGTATTTAAGTMGATTATCAAGGAACCATAATTTTAAAACGGAAAAACCAATTAATAATTAACAAATTTGATTGAAATTAACATATTGTTGAAAACCGGTATTCATTTACTTATACCATTTTAAACAATAAACTATTATAACGAATTTCAATCAAAAAAA